AGTAACTTCCAACCTTGAGATATTTTAATAGAAAAAAATATGTATTAAATGTACTACTTTTCTTATACCCTCACCCAGTTTGTTAATACGTAAAGGTCTTAGTCAGGTTAATAACCATTCTCCTTCTTCTCCCCTCATCAACTTTGCAGATGGAGAAAATAACATACAGAGAAATTGGCTTGTCAGAAGTCAGAGCAAGATTTTGGCGGATCCAGGGATAAATCCCAAACCTCATAACTCCTTAAGCAGTCTTTAGTTCATTGATTATGCAGCCTAGTGGTAAGTTCTTTTATGCTATCATAGAGGTAAGAGGGATTAAGAAACTGTATTAGCTTTCCATATCTGTGAAAAAATATCTGAGAAAATCAGCTTAATAGGAGAAAATACTTAGTTTGCTTCATGGTTTCAGAGATTTCAGTCCATGGTCATTAGGACCTGTCACTTTGGGTACATGGTAAAACTTTCAAACATCGTGATAGGAAGCATGTAGTAAAGCAAAGTTGCTTTTGGTAGCTGGGAAGCAAGGAGAAACAGAGGAAAGGAATGGAGTCCTAATATATTCTTCATGGGCATGATCCCAGTGACCTATTTCCTCTACCTAGACCCTGCCTCCTAAAGGTCCCAAAGGCTAATGTCCATTTCATGATTCAAAATGCATTCAGTCCATCTCCAACAGTCAGTAAAGTTTTAACAATTCCAACACACCTGAAAAGTCTTAATCTTCTCTGAGACTCAAAACATATTCTTAGCTGTGAACCCCCATAAAATAAAATAAAAAGTTACATACTTACAACAAACAGTGATAAGACAAGCATATGGTAAACATTCCCATTCGAAAAAAGAAAGAATGGGGTAAAAAAAAAAAGGAGGAATGGAACTAAAGCAGGACAAATCTAATAGGACAAACATAAAATCCTATAGCTCCATGACCAGCACACAGGGCACACAAAGGTACAATATAAGATCTAGAAAGTTTGAGCAGCCCTGTCCCCTATAGTCTTGCTGGCTGCAGCCCACATGGACTCAACTGTTTGGTTGACTGTGCTCTGTGTCTGAAGCTTTCCTTGGTGGATGCTCCACATTCCTGACATCTCTAATTTCCTGGGATCTCCAGTGCAACTTCAGTCTCATTCTCACAACTTCATTTATTTCCCTTTCAGGAGCTACTTGCAAGATCTCTGACCCTGCTATGCTCTGCCTGGCTTCCCACACTTTCCTTTGAATTCTCGGTGGAAACCATAACCCAACCCTTGCATTCTCCTCACCTAAAATCCAGCATCATGCCAAGCATGGTGGTGCAGGCTGTAAGCCCAACAACTCAGGAGGCTAAGTCAGGAGCCAGCCTCAGCAAATTAGTGAGGCCCTAAGCAACTTAGTGAGACCCAGTTTCTAAATAAAATATAAAAAGGGCTGGGATATGGTTCAGTGTTTAAGCATCTCTGGGTTCAATCCCTGGTACCAAAACAAAACAAAATAAAAACTAGCATCTCCTGGATAACACTAAGGTCTGCCTCCAGGAACTGGGTCTGTTTGGACCACAGCTGCAGCCACTTCTGTGTGCTTGGATAATTGAACAAGGGGAAATTAATCCAAGCAACAATTCCTTATGTAGCCCTTTGGAAAAAAAAATGTGCCTGGGGGAGGGTCTCTTCTCAAGCAAGTCTTTTAAATAAATTTGTACTCTACACTCTTGAGTCTAGGATGGGTGAGTTGCTGATAATTCCTGTAATGCCTTCAAGGCAACTTTCTTATTTTCCTGGTGTAGAGTGTTTGGATTCTTCTCCTTCCCTCTCTCCTCCTTCCCCATTGTCCTTAAGGGACAAGGTCTTTCCATGTTGCCCAAGCTAGGCCCAAGCAGTCTTCCCACCTTAACCTCCCAAGTAACTGGGCCAGTAGATATGCCAAGCTTAGCTTTTAAAAATGGAACTAATAACTTTAGCAACCACACCCACCTTAGCCAAAACTTTGCATGCACTTCTCTGGCTGAACAAATTTAAAAAAATTTTTTTGTCAGGTGATTCTCCTGGATCGGCTCTGGTCAGCTGGAGAGTCTCACCCAGGAATGAATCGCAATAAAACCTTGTTCAGCTGCTTTAAAAAAAATTTTTTTTTCCTCAGCTAGCACAGTGGCGCATGCCTAAAATCTCAGTTACTTGGGAATCTGAGGCAGGAGGATCACAAGTTTGAGGCCAGTCTCAGCAATTTAAATGAGACTTTGTCTTAAAATGAAATTTAAAAAAAATAAAAATAAAGGACTGGGAATGTAGCTCAGTGATACAACACCCTTGGGTTTAATCCCTAGTAACAACAACAAAAATTCCATCTGTTTTTTACTTTTGATTTTCATTAAATCTGTCTGAAATCAGCCAGCAATACTCATGATATAGCATGACTGCTGTTTTGCTTTGAAATTTCCACCTTCAGATTTATTAATCCATACCTTTAAACTAAGCCTTACATAAAATTACAGGACATAGGCAAAATGTTTACCACAGTGTAACACATATGACCTCTAGTCCAATTTAATTCCCAACAGATTCCTTATGTACATCTGAAAGCTTATAAGCACATGTCTTTTACTCCCTGCATTCCTATCAGCATTCTCTTCTGAGTTCTTACCAGAATTTCCCTTGAAGCTCTACTTATAGTATTCTAGGCTTTTTCTGGCCCACTTCTCTGGAGTTTTCCAAATTCCTCCTGCAGCCCAATTCTGTGGGCTTCTGAACCACATGGTCAGGTATAGTCACAGCAATGACCCCCCACTCTCAGTACTATTTTTCTGTGTTTGTCAACTTTGTGTCACTATGACAAAATACCTAAGAAAAATAAGCTTAAAAAGAGGAAAGATGTTTTTTTGACTCATGGTTTCAGAGGTTTCAGTCTGTGGTGCTTAGCCCTGTTACTTTGGGCCCATAACGACGTTTTCTAGTTTATTGTGCCGTACCCTTTCTTATCCCTTACTCAGGACTTATAATTTGGGTGATTTGTCTTCTTTGGGATTAAGTCACATTTGCCCTTCTGCTTCACACTAAAATTATGCTATTTTCTCAAAAGCCTATCCTACCTTTATTCCTGAAATAGTTGGGAGTCTTAGTTATTAGGAAGATCGAACAACCAAGCCACATGAAAAAAAATTTAATCAGTATATTTTGTCCTCTGTTCCTCACCTCCCCTCTTTGCCCATTGTTGGTTCTTATTGTAACTCTGCTTTCTCCATTATAGTAAAAACTATGGCCACTAATGTTGACCACTTCCTCCTTCTCTTATCCACCCATATATCTTATTCCCTAGCTTCACTGAATTGTAATTGTCCAACATGGTACTGTCCAAGAGCAATTAATGCAAACCACATATGTAATTTAATTTTTTATAATAGCCACATTAAAAAAGGTAAAAATAAGCAAAATTAATTTAGAAATGTATTTTATTTATATATCTAAAATACTATTTTTATATGTAACCAGTGCAAAAATATATACTGCAAAAATCTTTGAAGTCTGGTTTCTGTTGTACAGCACATCAGATACCAAGTTTTATCAAAAATATTTGATCTATTACAAATATTAGATTAGATTACAAGAAATTTACAGTTGAAAAAGTAGATCTACTAAAAAAAAAAAAAAGGTGAGTTAGGCTTAGGATCCCAGGTGGGGGTAGGGGGGTGAACTAGGACCTATTCTGGACCTGGGTCCCTCACAAGTCGGTGAGGGCAGATCTGGACTGGGCCTGAGCTCTCCTAAAAGTTTGCCAGTTGGAAGGGGTGGTCCTGTAAAAGGGGCTGGGCTCTGGTGGGTGTCTGCCAATGGCAGGATGGACCCAGGCCTACTGTGAGCCTGGGTCCCGTGCAGGCCAGCATGGGCGATCTCTTAACATCTTTTATCCTATGTCAGCTTTATTTTCAAGATTATATATTTTGTCTTTGTTGCCTGAAACTCTATCTTCCAAGTGTTCTAATCTGTTGCTGATGCTTTTGGTTGATTAATTTTGGTTTATTAATTCCTTCATTTCAAGGGTTTCTGATTAGTTCTTTTTCAGAATCTTTATTTCCTTAGTGAAGTAATCTTTTACTTCTTGTGTTTTCTCTCTGATTTCACTCCTTACATCTTACGTCTTTTACTTCATAGATCAGTTTAATTATGAACTTTCTAAATTCCTTCTGTGGCTGTTATGGTTTGGATGTGTGGTGTTCCCCAAAAGCTCACGTGTGAGACAATGCAAGAAGGTGCAGAGCAAAAATGATTGGATTGTAAGAGTCTTAACCCACTCAATGAATTAATCACCTTATGGGATTAATTGAGTAGTAACTGAAGGCAGGTGGGGTGTGGCTGGAGGAAGTGGGACATTGGGTGTGGCTTTGGGGTACATATTTGTATCTGGCAAGTGGAGATTTCTCTGCTTTATGATCATCATGTGAGCCACTTCCCTCTGCCACACTCTTTAGCCATGATGATTTACCTCACTTTACGCCCTGAGGAATGGAGATGGCCTTCTAAGGACTAAGATCTCTGAAACTGTAATACCTCAAATAAACTTTTCCTCCTCTAAATTGTTTTGGTCCTCCTCTAAATTTGTTTTGGTCAGATCTTTTAGTCACAGCATCAAAAATGCTGACCAAAAACAGTGGCATTTCATCTGCTGTAGTGTCAATGGATTCTGTTTTTAAGGTATTTTGATTTGTTTGGGATGGTTTGTTACCTTGCTTTTTCATGTTGTTTGTCTACCTATCTATCAGTATGAATCTGAGGCAACAGAATTTCTACTTTATGAACTTATAGAGTCCCTGAAGGTTTCCAGGTTAGTGGGAAACAAATAATAACAATCAATGCAAACAATATACAGCATTAAACTAAATACTTAATCCCTACTATGACATCTACAATGTTAATTGGCACAATAAATAGAAATGTAAGGCAGTCAGTTGCCAAATAATAGAAAAAAGGAATTATAATTTCAAAAGGTCAATAGGAGGAATGCAAAAGAGATGTAGGTTGTTATGCTTATCAAGGAGGAATAAAGAAAATAGAAGTAAAAAATTAAAGGAAAATTGAAAGAGAAAATAATTGAATTTGACTGTTAGCAAAAGGAAAGGGAGAAAGAAAATCAAGGGAAACAGATAAGTGAAAAACCACGAACTCTACAAAATAAAACCGAAATATGCTAATCAAAAACCTTAACCCTCAAAAGATAGAGCCATGAAAAGTAACTACCTTTAAAAATGCTAGAAATGAGAAAAGAGTGACAAATATGTGTATGTATAAATGTTCATAAACCATTCAGAACACAATCAGAGAAAAAGAAAAGGGAAAAAAAACAGTTCTTGGTGAAAAATTAAGGACTGTTTCCATTGTAGTAGTCAAATGTGTCAATGAGAATATGTGTTCGTTGTCTATTCCCAACTCTCCCTCCTTCCTTTTTTTCTTGTGCATATGTACTATGCACAAGAGAAATGACCACAGGCTGTCAAATACTTCCTCTTTTTGTTTTGTTCATCAAGTTGCCAGTTGGAGTTCAAAAATTCTTAGCTTCCCCTTCTGGCAGTATGAGATAAAGTGGGTTTGAGTGTTGTGTTCTCCACTTTCAGGGTGGGGTAGCTGTAGAGTTCTGTGAGAGGAGTTCCCGTAGGCAGAGCTCCTGAAGGCCAGGCTTGGGTCTAGACAAGTCCCAGGTGCTTTATTGAATGGCAATTAGTCTAAAGGTATTAAATCAGAGCACTACCTGGGCAGCTGCTGATCCATGCTGGGAGACTGCACGCCTGGAGTCTCCCCTGGGTTTTACTCATGCATTGGAGGAGCCAATCCTCCACCACCCACACACCCTGCCCTTCCCGGCTTCCTGGGTTCAGTTGGAAAGCACAGTCATACCGTCCCAGCTGGTTCTACAAGCCACCAGATTCAAAGAGGGGAAAGGAAACCAGGCTCTAGGGTCTCCAAGACCTATATTCCCCGGGGTAAAACACTGTCCTTGTCTGATTTTTCTCCTGTTCTCCTAGGCATACTCTGGGTCATGCCAACAAGCATCTACCAGGTCTGTTTTTCAGACCCAGCTCAGATTTCCCAGGTCTAGGCTCCTGGACTTGCTCCTCACAGCTGCCACAGCCTCATGGCAAGGTAGCTCTTGCCTCAGCTCTCTGTAGATAACCAGAAGACAGTAGGTGTCTTTCCTATAGCACACCCTCTGGATCCGTCAGCAGTGTCCTTGATCTCTGATTTCTCTGTACCAGATGCTACAATGCCACCTACAATGCGTGTTTCCTTAGTCCCCCTCCCTGCTTTGCTCACAGTGGTCAGTTCTGGCAGCCACTGACAGTGGTGGCGTGCTTCCTTCTTTATTATAATATATCCCAAGCTGTTCTGAGTGTTCAGAATTGAATCCCAGTAAAATCCCACTTTCATCTATCTCACTGGGAAGCTATTTATCCACTTTCTTGGTCTCCCACCATGGAGCAGCTTGAAAAGCAACCACCTCTACTCTGCCATCTTCTCTCCTGATGAATGTGATTTCAGTAAGGAAGTAGCAAAGACTTTAGAGTTGTTTTGAAAATATTGAGTTGGAAATGAGATTTAAATGTCAAACTGAACAATATAGAATAGGAAGTGCTCTTTCATTCATTTAGTTGATTCTGATATGTAAGATATAAAGGAAAATATCACATAATACAAGTTTATGAATAGTTAATAAGATAAACACATGTGCTTAATCAAACATAAATATATACACATGGGATATAGATTCATTGCTACTACCTCAGCTCCCATAATATTATTTGTTACTTAGAGAACAAGAATCCCAAAGTTTAATAGAATCTTAGAAGTTTATTTTTTTTCCAACCCATAAATTCCCTCTCAGCTTAGGAAAGTTTACACATTTGATGATAAGTGGTCATCCAGCCTTTCTGCTTCCACAGGAAAGTTCTCATTGCCAGAAAGTCTCTGACATCTGCTTCCCTACAATAAATGCTTTTTCAAATACCTCCAATCAAAAGATGACGTTTTGTAAAACCCCTGGTAAGAACTCCAGTAGAATGCAGTTTTTGTTCAGTGATATATATGCAGTATCTAGAATCATGACTGACAAATACCAGATAAGTATTTGTAAAATGAATGAATCTTCCTAAGCAGGATTCACATTGTTGCTTCAATTCCATTTTTCATTGTGGATTTACTCCCTTTTTGGACCATTATTATATATCTTTCATTGCTTTTGCTGCACTACATCTTCCCCTCCATGACACTATTAAACTTACTGAGCCCCAGATTTCTCATCTTCAAAAAGATATTGATAATACCTGAGGTGATAGATAGGAAAATCACTGGCACTGGCCTGCTATAAGGTAATGTTAGATGTTAGTTAAATCTGAAATGGAATCAGTACAGCAACCTCTGAGCTTACCTTACCCTGACATCCATGAATGAAAATTTCATTTTTAAGATTAATTTTTAAAATTATAGCAAAACATACATAACAAAGTTTATCATTTTAATTTTTTTAGTGCTGGAAATTGAGCCCTGTGCCTCACACATAGATAAACACTCTACTACTAAGGTATATCACCAGCTCTCCATTTTAACTAATTTTTAAGTGTACAGTTCCGTGGCATTTCTGGTCAGAAAATTCAGAAAGACATTTACTTATGGAACCATCAGTCCCATCTATCTATAGATCATTTTTTTTATTTTGCAAAACTTTAAACTCTACCCATTAAATAATAGCAATTTCATTTTTAATATTAACCTAGTATGATTGAAATAGTAAATTTGTTGTAAAAAATTAAAATAAAGCTAAATATGAATGACTTTTATATTATCTGCAGTTTTAGATGCTCTGTTTTCTGTTATTCTTAGTTAACATGAATAACTGCTATCCAACATTAGTGGTTTCTTTAGTTAAGTACCATTCTCTATATTACAATAGTTTTGATGAGAGCATCATTGAAATATTGACTTATTCATATGTATAACTTTTCTCTCACTCATAACTTTATGTTTCTGAATTTGGTAAAAAGACTTTTTTAAAAGTGCTTTCTGTGTGTCAAGTTCCAGGAATACATACTGCTTAGTAAGTATTTAGATGTAGCATTCTGTGATAGGCATAAAGGTACGAGGTTGAGCTAATACTTTTCTTTCTTAGGAGCATTACCAGAAATTTTTTATAAAGTAACATTTGTCCTAGATCCAGAAATATCTGGAAGAGAAGTGGGAATATGTTTATATGTTTGGTCACAGTTTAGGGTATGATCCTTAAAGACTTTTTGTTGTTGTTGTGGTTTTTGGTTCTGGGGATTGAACTCAGGGGCAGTCAACCACTGAGCCACAATCCCAGCCTTATTTTGTGTTTTATTCATAGACAGAATTTCACTGAGTTGCTTAGTGTCTCACTACTGCTGAGGCTGGCTTTGAACTTGCAATCCTCCTGCTTTAGCCTCCCGAGCTGCTGGGATTACAGTTGTGCACCACTGTGCCCAGCCCCTTAGGACTTTTAAATGGAGTAGTGACATATTTTATCTTATCTGTACTTTAGAAAAATAATGTTGATTTGTATGTAGAAAAGACACAAGAATTAAGAAACTTTTTATTGAGTAAAGGAAGAGATAATGAAATCTAAATTCAAAATTTGGTAAAGAGTTTTTAAAAAGTGCTTTCTGTTTGTCAAGTTCCAAGAATATATACATAAGCTCAGAGGTTGCTGTACTGATTCCATCCAGGAGATGGGAGAGAGGAGCTGGTCATTTTAGAGATAGAATGGCAGAATTGGATAACCAATTGATTTGAGAACCAAAAGCAATGAAAAGCAGACAATTAAGAAGAATTTCAGATTTCTGACTTGTTATTACTAACTGGGAAAGGGACTACCAGAGAAGAAAGATATTGCTTGTGTAAGAGGAATAAATTCGATTATTAAATAGTATCATACATGTCATACTACATTAAACTACATATCACAACATACTCTGAAACATGGCCATTATTCTTAGAATGCTTTGAAATTTTTTAAATAAGTGGTTTCTTTTATTATGTGTGAAATTCTATCAGCTGCTGTTTTCTCATTTAGGAACTGATACAAGAGAAAACAACTACATTACAAAATGTACACTGTTTAAATACTTCCTGATATACTGAGTAATTTGTGGCAGTATTTAAACAGTGTACATTTTGTAATGTAGCTGTTTTCTCCTTTTCTTCTTTGGGCACTGCTTTCCAAGTTCCTCTAGTTTGTGTGAGGAATTAAAAATGCTTCTTCTTGGGCTAGGGCTGAAGTTCAGCTACATCTAATTAATTTCTATAATTAGAAATTATAAAGGGGATCCAGTACTACCACCCCGTATATTTATTTGCTGTGTTTACTTCCATTTTTTTTTTAGTGATAATTTTTAAGAAGTGTATTCATTTGTTAGGGCTGCCATAACAAAGACCACAAGTTGATGGTTTAAATGACACTAATTTATTTTCTCATAATTCTGGAGTCCAGAAGTCCAAGATCAAGGTGTCAGCAGGTTTCCTCTGAGGCCTCTTGTTCTTAAGGTATAGATGGCCATATTTTCCCTCTGTCTTTATGCCATCTTTTCTCTGGCCCTGTCCAATTTTTTTTCTATAAGGATATCAGTCATATTGAATTAGGGCCTACCTCAGTGACCTCATTTTAACTTAACTACCTCTTCAAAGATCTTTTCTCCAAATACACATTCTGAGGTACTGGGGAGTGGGGACTTCAATATGAAATTTGGGAGGGCACAGTTCACCTACATGGGTGCTCTTTGTTTTTAGGGGTTTTTTTATATATATATAATTGTGATATTTTATGAATGTAACTTTTCTTCCCTTGTTTTACCTAATAACATTACAATTTAACATTTTCCCATTTATTCTTTAGCCTTTGTAAAAGTTTAACAGCTTCAAAATATTTTTCCTAGTGGTTACACAGCTGAATCTGAATCAATCTTCTGTTCTGAACACTTAGGTGTTCCCTCTTTTCTGTTACTATAAGCAGTTCTAAAGCTTTTAATTATAACATTCTTGTCTCTATTTGCATTATTTCCAAAAATACAATCTCAAAAGTGATGACTTAGTTAAAAACTGTTAATGGAAACTGCTAAATTCAGAAGTAGTGAATCTTGTGTTTTCTTTCTACGTGACTCTTTTCTCTCTTCCTGCAGTAATAAACTGGAATGAAGTTAGAAAATACAAATATGGTCACCTATCAGAGTCTGCATCCCAATATCAAGGTAAGAAAAAAGCCATCTAGCATGAAAAAGTTTTATTTGACATTTTTTACCGTAAAACATTTGTTCTTAGAAGTCTGAGTTTATAAATAACTCACTTTTTAAAGAAAAAGCAAATATTGTCATTATTAAGGTGTCTATAAAAAGTAACATTTTATTCTGAGCTGAAAATCTGGAAACGTACATTTCTTATAAATAATCCCAAATTTATTTAGAGCTTTAGGCACTGTTGCTTAGTCCCTCCAGGTTTTCATAGTTTTTATTAGTTTAATCTCTAGAGGAAGGCAAAGTTTAGTGTACTGCCGCAGCTACTAACTAATAAAACTCAGTATCTTTTAAAATGAAGTAATCAGATAAACAAACTTTCAAACCCCTATTTTACTCCAGAATTGCACCTTTCTGTCATTTCAGTATGTTTATCATGATGACCTATGCTATAACATTTTTTTTGTTTAATAGAAACTGGTGACATCCTGGAGCTAGGTAAGATATTTTTCTTGTTTCTGCTAAATAAAGAGAATTACTAAACCTGGGATAAGATTGTAATCAGTTTTACTCTACTAGGAAGATAATTCCCCGTGTCTCCATCTCATAATCCAAAGAACTCTGTGCTCACCTGCCTAATGTAATTTATCTCAGTGCCACATCAAGTCCTACTTTTCAGGAGGTCACAAAGCTAACAAAAAGGAAGGGGGTGTGGCTGATTATGTAGACTATAGGAGGAAAGGAAACTGAGCCCCACTGGAAGTAACTTCTTAATGCACTGCAACTAGAACTAAACAAAGTTCCACTGTCATAAACCAAAGTTTGGTGGGATTTACCCAAAAGAAATTAATTATAAATTGAACTGAAATTAAACCTAAAGATTTTCTAAGTGTATGAACTAAATTAAAACTAAAATATTAAAATGTTATCAGGTAACAAATCAGATTGATACTTCTTTTGGTTTTTATCACTGTGTAGTATACTTCAGGATTAGGATTTGAGGAATAAAACTAATACCAATATTTCTCAATCAGCTTTTGGGTTTTTACATAAACATTAATATTAATGTCTTAGAATCCTTTAAAATCTTTTTACATATTACCTTAATGTTGGTATCCTGATACCTTTATGAATTTTTGTTCAATTTTTTTTTTTTGTGTGTGTGTGTGTTTGTGTGGTGCTGGGGATTGAACCCAGGGCCTTGTGCATGCAAGGCAAGCATTCTTCCAACTAACTGAGCTATATCCTCAGCCCCCGTTCAGGTATTTTGGTATATTTTGTTACTGTAATTACATGTGTTCAGCCTGTTATTGTCTATTTGCTTTTTCTTGCCTTTTGTTCCTGTAACATGATACTTCTCATTGCCCACTGACACACAGCATAACATAAAGTAGAACACTAAGAGTCAGAACCTCCTGGGTGTGTTGAGAGCCAGCTCTGCCATTTAGTTACTCTTAAATCCTTAGTTTTCTGATTTGTAAAATGGGTTTAATTCCATTCTGCCTACTTCACACGTTGTAAAGAAGATGGGCATGAACTAAATCATGCAAAAATCCTTTAAAACTTTCAGATACTATAGAGGATTGTTTTGACTTTCATTCTGTTCAACGATTTTACTCGGACTTTAAGTCAGATCTTCTGACATTCAGAGTGAAGCATTATGAATGTGAGTGAACTGAAGAAATTAATGAAATTAAAATATGCAGTTAAAAGTACCTGGCACTTTATAAAGAAATGATACTTATTTTTATTGCTTCTTAAAACCTTTTTCAAGATTTCTAAGATGCCAATAAATAGTGGGAAAATGCTCAGACATAGGAATCATGCAGGACTTGGTTCAAATTCCTGTTCCCCACTTATCAGTTTAGTAACTTTAGGCAAATTATTTAATATTTTTGAGCCCATTTTCTTATCTTTATAATGAGCACAAAACCTGCTTTTCAGGCTGTAGTGAACATGGGAGATGCTGTGCGAGTCTGGCATGCCAAGGGAAGACAGTGATAGCTGCTGCTAGTTTTGTTGCTCATATAAGTAATAATTGTAGTTCAGTGACAGCTTTAGGCATGTAAACAATTTATTTATTGAGAAGGGATTATGAAACATGGATGCTCAATTCACATAAAATATATCAGTTGACAAATGATGTTAAAATTTGAAAGTGTAGTTTTCCTCATGAGAGTACTGGTTAGCACAGGCATAGCCTTTGACATGACTTAATACTACATATTTTATTTTTTTTACATCAAGCAGAGAGAATAGCCCCAAATATCAAACAAATAAAATTTAGTAGATCTGTGGAACTTCAGTGTTGGAAATGCTGCTCTGGCCCAGCATTTCAAATTTGACATTTTGAATTTCTTATAAATTGTCTTATCTTGAACTCTACAAGTTGCAGGGGACTTATAGCCTCCTCGGGTAGATTGCTTCATATTAGATAGATATTGGGCAAAAATCTCTTTCTTTGTAATTTATATTAGTCACATTCTAACTTTTAGGGCTGTATGAAACAGGTTTACCTTTTTTTTATTCACTCGTCTCTTGATTATTAGAAAGCAGTTGTAGGAACTAGTTTGTCACTGCTCCTCTGCCATTTTCCTGGTTTAAACCACTATCATCTCACACCTAGATTATTAATGGCATAGCTTCCAGCCTCCATACCCTTCCTTCCAGTCCATTGTTCACCCTGCAGCCAGAATGACTGCACCCTAAGCCCTTCATCACTTTTGCTTCTCATTAACATTGTGTGGGAGGCACTGATATCTGAACAGTGCTTCTATCTACAACTGCTTTCTTAGACTACTTTTTCTTTAAACTTTACCCAGTAAACATACCAAAAAATCCAGTTTGTAGAACTCCTTTTGCTCGCCTCCAAGCCTTTATACATGCTTTTATTTTCCTGTCTAAAACAAAGTTTCCTTTCTCTTTGGCTTCTGCTTATCTTTTTACACTGTTACTTAGGATCCTAAAGATGACTTCTTTGCACAAACCCTCCAGGTGCTCCTATAATACCCACCACCTCTCTAGGTGTAGTCCTTACCATTGCATATTATAGTGGATTGTTTGGCCTCTGTGTCTCACTAGACCAAAGCTCTTCAAGGGACAAGGACAATATTTGATCATGATTATGTCTCCAGCCCAATACTGTTGATATTTGATAACTGCATGGATGAGAAAATGGCTTTGAGACTTTGCTTTCTTTCTAATGCTAAGTAGTCATGAACTATTCCTTCAGTTGATCCTCAGGTGACCCTTTGCCACAGGTCACCATTTCAACTCTGCTTTGCTATATCTGTCTCAAAGTAACTCCCAGATGAAATTTAATATCCCACATGTGATTTTACTAGTCCAGTCAAGATTAGGACTATTACTTCTGTGCTGCTTTTCTTTTCATTCATTCAAAAACTTTCACTAAATCTTTATCATTAAGTTTCAAACACTGTATAAAACAGTGAAGATTTTAAAAATGAATAAATATATTTCCTATCCATAAAGAGCTCACATAAATAATTATAATGATAGGATATGATGACAGTAGAGGCATAAACAAGATATTATAGAAAATATGGAAATTATAGGATTTGTTCTTGGAATATAAGAAAAGCCAGAGGTTTTGCAAAGAAAGTAACATTTTTACTAAGTGTCATTCAATGGGTAGAGGCAACATGGCAGACATAAGAGGCAAATAAAGCCAAAAGTTGTTTAAGGAAACTCTTAAGTCATATTGTGATTCTGTATCTTTGAAGCCTCCCAAATCCAAATCTTTTTCATTTCAGGATACTTGCCTGAACCTATAAAAAGTTTTTAATTTCTTCTCTCTATTAATTTCTTCTTTATTAAATAAAAATAAAGTGACTTTCTTTTTCATCCTTTTTCAAAGAAGAAACCACATGGAAATGTTAGTGGAGCAATATTATAGTTGAACATATTTTTTACCCAATATTCTCCAACCTTTGAGAATTTGATGAAAGACTGTACATATTAAATCACTCTGATTCTTGTGTGCATGTTCTTTTAAAACTAAAACTAGCTGGCAGAAACATAATAATGAAAGTGTTGCATTGATACTAGGAGCTGAGTTTTTACTTGAAACCTTTCTTTTTCAATCAGGGTATTTGATGAGTTCTTAACTTTTAGTTAGGATGTTGTCTCATATGATTAAAAGGTTTCTAATTGTATAATTCAGTTTCTATTATTTGTTTTCAGAATTTTTTTTGGATTGGTGTTTTATTTTGAAGTGATCCATTAAAAATATAAAGCTATTAATTTTAAAGGGTTCTGAGCAATGTTTTGAGAATGAATGACTATGTATCTTATAGCTTTAGACATTTTTAAATAGCTGGTTTTTATTAATGTTAGGTCTGCCACAATTTATAAATCATCTGAAAAGTGCCAAGAAGACATAGCATTGAAGGTATGACTTATGAAAAAGACTTGCTGTAGCAGATATTTAAATTGGTTATGAAATGATGTGAAGCTGAGTGCTTCTCATGATGGAATAGACAGGCTAATTAGAGGAACAGAATAGAGTCCAGAAATAGATCTAAGAATACATAAGAAATTAATATAAGATCAAGGTGGCATTTCAAAGAAGTAGGAAGAAGATGATTTATTCAGTAGATGATATTCGAGCACATTTATTGAATATGTGTAAAAAGGGAAAGCTAGAACCTTTTCTCATTCATTTCATAAAATAAATTCCAAATAGATCAAATACTAAAAAAAATGAAACCAGAGAAATCATAGAAACATGGGCTAATATTTTTTATAACATTGAAGTGAGGAAACTATGGTTTGAAAACCAAGAATCCATAAAAGAACAGACTGAGAAACTTAAAGGCAAACCCTACCAAACTGAGACATATACATCCTCAGTATAAGGACAGACAGAGGATTAATAGTCTTCATTGACAAAGACCCCTTAGAATCTGTAAGAAAATAAAAAATTAACTCGGGAGAAAAATAACAAAATAAAATGTAAACTAGATGATAACTGTAAAAACAAGAGCTTTAACTTTATTAATCAAAAAACTATAAATAAAAGATAAATAGTACTTTTTTCATTGATAATATTTATCAAAATTATAAAGATTATGCCCACATACAAGAATGGGGTCCTAATTAGAAAAAGATATAGCCTATGCTTGTATAATTTTATGAAAATGGATTCTACTATCATATATAACGAAGAAGAACCAGTTAAATTAATTTAAGTAAAGAAAATATTAACTTTTCCTTAAAAAAAAAAACAGTTTAGGAAAGGTGTGGGAAACACACTCTCATGCAGTTCTGATGAGAATAGAAATTTGTATAAATCATTCCAGAGACTATTTGACAACATGTATTATATCAAAATTTAAAATATTCGTATTCTTTGTTCATTAATCCTACTCTGGAATTTGTCCTAAGAAGATAATCTGAAAAGTATTCAAAGAGTATATACTTAATGAAATAATAGTATTTAACAAAATTTGTTGTTAAGTTATATAAATTATGGTATATATGAACAGTGGAATATCATTTAAACAGTAATTTTGGAGTAGGATTTTTTTTATCTAAAAATGTTGATTTTCCTTATTGCTCTCAGGCATTTGAATTCTACACTTACATGGAACAAAGTAGAGATCTTGTAAAAGAATGTGACCAGAATGCCAACTAACAAACATCTTGTTTATTATCTTTCTTCCCCATTAGAGTGTAAGCTCCACATGGACAGAGACTTGCTCTATTGCTCTTGGCCATATATTCTCAGTGCTTAGAGCTAGGGTTAGCATACAATAGGTATTTGATAAATATTTGTTGAATGAAGAAATATTAGAAAAGAGGATTCAAGCATCCAACTAGGTGAACTCCTGTGCTTTACATTTTACAGGCTTCTTATGTCATTTGAAGAAATTGTCCCTTCATAGTACAGGCCCTATTTTCCTAATGATAAATGTTATTGTAGTGTGGTATGTGTTAGAATTTAGAAAACAATTTTATAAGCATATTCAGTGATATAAATAAGATGACTGGCTTTTTCTTTTCTGTAATGTCTCAGCTTAAGAGAGTTCCTCTGTAGAGCATATGTCCATAACTTCACTAAGATATCTCCTAGTTCATCCCATTGCCTCATTTTATTCCTTTCAAATACTTATTATTTTATTTATTTATGTGTTAATGGTGTCTCATTATATGATAGAATGTAAATTCCATGAGGGTAGGGACCCCAAGCTATACTGCCTCACTCATGGCGGATGTTCAACAAACATCTATTGAATAAATTATTGAAAATGATCAAGATAATGTTGAATGCTTTGAATTGTAATGTTAGAATAATTGAAAACACTCAAATTATGTGTGTTCACAAAGCATTATACAAAATTAGTTAATATTTATTTTCACAATGATCTCAGACCTCAAGTATGGAACAAATTTCCCTGTACTACACTCTCAAAGCAATCTGTATTACCTCATTAACTTAAATTTGTCTTAATTGTAACAATATTTGTTATTACTTTTTTACTATATCTGCTTATCTCTTGGCTGAAATCTCTATAACTTTAGGAACTTTATCCATCTTGTTCCCATAAGATTTAACACAGTTCTTTGTACTTGGAAGGAATTTAAATATTATTAAGTGAAAAATGTATGTGCAATCATTCGAGATAGGTATTATCTTTGTTTTTCAGATAAGTAAGGTGAGGTGTGGAAGGATTAAGTAATTTCCCCCAAGATTGTTAGCTATAGAAAGAAGACTTAAACCAACATCTTTGACTTCAAATATCACGTTCTTTCAGCTACACCAATAGTTTCTATACACAGGTTTTAATTAGAATTACCTAATGAGCCTTTCAAAATACATGTTCTCATGCCACACTTGAACTCTATTCATTGAGAACTTCTGAAGACAGGGTCCTGAACTTTGTTCAAGTGAGTGAAAAAAATCTATGATTATGGTTTTGGTATCAATTGTTTAGACCATGGATTAGCAAACTATTGTTTGGGGCCAAATCCAGCCCACTGCCTTTTTTTATCAGTAAAGTTTTAATAGAACATAGCCATGCTCATTCATTTACATATTGCTTATGGCTACTATTGCACACAATAGCATAGTAGTTGTAACATAGATTATATGACCAGCAAAGCATAAAATTTTTTATTATTTTGTTTTCACCAACTCCTGGTTCATACCTTGCTGTCTATAACTATACCTTGCTGTCTATAACATAGTGCTTGCAAATATTTGTGGTAGGCATTGGTAGTGTTTTCAAGTATTCTTATTGAGTCAATAAGAACTATCTTAATTTGCAGTTTACCTGATGTTTTACTTAGCTTTCTTGCCTCTGTGACCAAAAGACCTGACAAGAATAATTAAAGGAGGAAAATTTTTGTTTGGGGCCCATGGTTTCAGAGTTCTCAGTTCATAGATGGCCAACTCCATTGTTCTGGGCCCAAGATGAGGCAAAATATCATGGCAGACAAGTATGGTGGAGGAAGGCAGTTCATGACATGAACACCAAGAAGGAGAAAGAGAGCTTCCTTTACCACAGACAAAATATAAACCTTAAATACAAGCCCCCAGTGACCTACTGCCTCCAGCTATAATTATCACCCAGTTAATCCATTCAAGTGGATTAATGTATTGATTAGGTTAAGGCTCTCATAAGCCAATCTTTTCACCTCTGTACTTTCTTTGCATTGTTTCAACACATGAGATTTGGGGAGACGCTTCATATCTAAACCATAATATCTGATTAAGGGACTAAGCATAAGCAGTCAAGTATAAGAAAAATATCAGTCTAGGTATGGTTTAAACCATCAATCATCATAGTGGATAGACTGCTTTTAATAAAGAAATTCTTTTTCATTTAGTTTCTAATAGGATGTTTCCTAAGTGTTGTAATGTCTGAGGTTTCTGGCTTGTATACCAATAGCACAGGAATTGATTCCATGTGCTTTGGTAATAGAGAACTATAATTAATATTGTAATTATTGTGGTATCACTAATGATGTGGTAATTCTTAAAACGAAAGTCTCTTGGGTTCTTCTAGTCAGAATTCAAGCCAATATAAGCAATTAACCAGAACTCATCAAACCTCTAGGCATGTGTTGCCCAATTCATTAGCTCTTAGCCATATATAGGTATTTAAATTAAAATTATTTAAAATCAAATAAAATTTAAAACTCAGTTTCTTATCCTTACTAACTACACTTCAACTGTTCAGAAATTACATGTATCTATTGCTAATTTACTAGACAGCACAGATACAGAACATTTCTATCAGCACAGAAAGTTATATTGGACATGCTGCTCTAAATAAAAGAGTTTAAGAGTTTCAATTCAGTGAAATGCAAAACATACTATTTAGTTTAATTTTTAATTTATAAGGATAGAATAATTATTGTATGATTTCTTTTTTTAATAGAGAACAGTTATGACATGTATTCAGTTCTTGATTTAGGACCCTCTCAGCTAAGAGCAAATTCTTTATTAAATTCTGATAACCTCTTTAAATCTTGACGTCAGGAAATATCAACTTATTTACCCATGGACTATGTCTGGTCATGATGATTAATCATTGACTAATTCATGAAATGTTTCAGAACTGACTGATTTCTGGCCAAATCTATTTGGCTTAGTTAAGGATGATGGTGGGAAAGGAACCAATTTTAAACAGAAGCTATAAAATCAATAGAGTGTAAAGTCTTGGCATCTTCTTTGGAGTGCTTTAGTTTTCATCATTCAGTGACTCGTTTTTATTCCCAGCATCTAGTGCTTTTTGCATGGCCCAAAGGGGCCCTGTGCTGCTCCACTGCAGAGGAAACTTCAAGAAATGCTGGTTTGCTACAGTGTTTTAGCTTGTGAGAGTCTCTGGGACCTTCCCTGCTCCATCATGGGGTCACCTCTAGGTGGGTATTAGGAGGAGATTGGTAATTGGTTTAACCTTTAAATAAATAACTTGGTAATCTTTTTTGGTCCAGTGAAATCTGTATTTAATAGCCTGTCCCTTACCATGTTTTTCTGACCCCAGCATGATGTCACCTTAAAGATTATTTCTCTAGGACAGTGTTCTTTAAACTTTGAAAGACATATTCTTATTTACTGTCATCATAAATGCTTCCCAGGTCCTACTTTCTCTAGATTACCAGACCTTTGTCATTTTGTACCTCAAAGCAATACAGACTGGGATGGGAGTGGGGTAGGGATAGGTGAGAGAAAGCCAGTTTAAAGAGTGAGGACTGAAGTATCATCTCACTCCTCTGGCTTCCCCTCCCCTCGAATCCTTTCACCTCATGTCTCCAGATGCCTTTCTTTCATATTCTTTCTAAGCCAAGAAGGTAGAATCCAACCACATTGGGTGTTAAAATCTGTCATTGGCTGTAATAAAGGGCCATTCCAGGAATCAGATTGTTCAGAAGGAATCTCCCCACTCCCTTTCTGTTTCTTCTGTTCTGTTTTCCATGAGCTTCCTGGGTACTTCTTTAAGATAGTTGTATATCTTGCTTTGGAATTTTGGATTACTTTAGAGACTAACATGAAGAACACTTTGGGACATCTTGAAACCATGATTTTATTAAAACATTAATCTAGTAAATGATCCATTCATGTCAACTAAATCCTTCTCCCTAATACTCCTTGTAGCCCAAACAGGAAAAAAAATCTTTATGCTCAAAAGAAGTCTGCAAGTGGCTTAATGTTTAGCATAGATTATATCCCAAAAGCATTTTTTAGGAAGTTGACTGTGATAGAGATTTCTATTTCCTTTACAGGTCATTTTACCTGGGACAAATACCTAAAAGAAACATGTTCAGTCCCAGCGCCTGTCCATTGCTTCAAGCAGGTAATTAATTCTCAACATCATTAGTAGGTGGGAGGCAGGTAGTTTGCTTTTGTTTTTCTTTTCTGGTTCCTAAATAAACAAAACTTGAGGCAGAAGCCCTTTGACTGTTCACCTGAGGTCCCCAGAGTAAACTAGTATGGGAGGACCACAACTCAAGAAGTAAAATTTGGTCACTATGAGTTTTAGCAGTAGACATTTTCCCCAACTTCATCCCAAGTAACACCCTTTCCTTCTTCTTCACCTCCTTGAGGACATTCTGTGTTACTGAAAAAATTTGTTATTTTTTACTGTAGCTTTCAATTCAGACAGATAAGGAGACTTACAGCCCTTAGACAGTTCTTGAAAGAGGACCAGTATTCCTTTCTCTGTACTCAATAACTTTGTCACAATCTTATCTTCCTTTAAGAATGTTGACACTGAGTCCCACTGGGAAACATCGGGAACTGATAAGAGGTCATCCAGAGCTTCCGCCATAGAATTAAATGCTGGAGAAAGCACACATTTGATGTTGAGTGTGTCAGTATGGATAAAGTTGATAGAAGAAAAGGTGTACTTATGCTAAACAGATCTTAACATCAGGAAGTTATTTACATTTGTCTTTCTTTAGCACTCAGTGGTTATTTTTCTCTGTCAACACTTTTAAGTTTTGAGTTTTATTTTCTAAGTGAAAATATAAATTTAGGACCTGCTTATTTAAAATAATAGGGGCTGAATTCTTATTTTTACCTGAAACATTTTCTTAAAGTCATATAAACAATAGTTTTCAAGTCACTGCAGAAAGGGCAATAAACAGTGATCTTTGAGAGATGGACAACACATGAATTGAGCCCTGTGTAATATCCCAGCTTACTGTGTTAAGAGAGTTTCCAGATCATGGCTCAAGAAGAGGAGCCCAGGTTGATACAGCAGATTTCCTAATTTGAGGAGATGGAACTGGGAGTGAAGGAATAGCAAATTGTCTAGAATTTGCAGATCAAAGTACCCAAGAAGAGAGAACTTCACAGGAAGAAAACTACAAAAATCTACAGAGAGTCCTTTTCAACTACTCAGGAAAGTTCTACTGTCCAGTACATACATATGAGGAAACTACTTAAAGTCAAAGGAAAATCTATCTGACAGAATTAGAAGGAATAGAGCCTAACAGGACTTGGAATCATTTCTCTTTTTTAAATATTTTTTTTAGTTGTAGTTGGACACAATATCTTTATTTATTTATATGTGGTGTTGTCAAGTGCCTTACAAGTGTGAGGCAGACGCTTTACCAATGAGCTACAGCCCCAGCCCTGGAATCATTTCTGATTCCATCTACTCTACTGGAAAAAAAAATTCTTAATTCATTGGGTATTGAGTTAGAATGCCCAGGAAATCTTGCTTAGTAGCAATTGTGTTGATAATGAGCCATAGCCTGAGCACTGTTGCAGACTTGCCTAATAAATTATAAAATTAACACTCAAAAGGATTAAGTTATTCTCATGTAGCAGCATCTTGGAACAAAGCACAAGCAAATTTAAAGAAATGCAAAAATATCCATTATAATACCTGGCATCCATTCGTAGATTACAAGGCATGCAAAAAGGCAGGAAAATGCAATCAATATAAAAGAGAATAATCAATTGATTGGAACTAACTCAGGACCTACACCAATCATAGAATAGAAAACAAACACACTAATTATTCTAATATATTGACATACATAATTTAAGCAGAAAAATAGAAGATATAAAAAAGACTTAAATTATACTGCTCTATGTGAAGGAAAAAATATACTGGGTAATATTAATGGCAGAAGAAAGATTAGTAAATTTGAAATAATCCAAACTGAAATGCAAAAATAAAATGGAGAAATAAAAAGAAAGACCAGTGAATGGCGGGATAACTTCAAGAGGCCAAATAGACATGTAATTGCAGTTTCCAAAGAAGAAAGTATTTTTCAAAAAATGAGGAAAATTGTAATTGTACAAATTCAAGAAGCTCAATGAATCCTAAAAATAAGAAACAAGAAAATAAAAACTACACAAAAGCATGTCATAATTACATTATACAAAGTCATTGATATGGAAGACCTAAAAGTATCCAGAGAAAAAAGATATTTTCCATATAACTAATATAAGGATAACATTGAATTTCTTGTTAGAAATAATGCAAGCAAGAACAAAGTTGAGTAGCATTCTCAAAATACTGGAGGAAGCAGCATCAACCTAGAATACTATGCCCAGCAAAAAAAAAAAGAAGATATTTTCAGATAAACAAAAGCTGAAAAAAATTAATCACTAGCAGACTCACATTACCAGAAATGTTAAAGGAAAAATCCAAAAGGAAAGTCATATCAGATGGAATAACAGATCTATGCAAAGGAATGAAGGTCACTGGAAATTATAATAACAAGATTAAATAGCCAGGTGTGGTTAGTACATGCCTGTAATCTCAACAGCTCAGGAGGCTGGGGCATGAGAATCACGAGTTCAAAGCTAAACCCTCAGCAAAAATAAAGCATTAAGCAACTCAGACAGACCCTGTCTCTAAATAAAATACAAAATAGGGCTGGGGATGTGGCTTAGCAGATGAGTGCCCCTGAATTCAATCCCTGGTACCAAAAAAAAAAAAAGTAAATATTTTTTCTTAATATTTAAATGTCTATAAAATGTATTTGGTGTGTAAACAATTATAACTATTTATTTGGGGGATTACATATATGTGTAAAATGTATGTAGCAATAGTATAAGGGCAGGAAAGGAGAAATCTAAGTGTAGATATACCATAAGTTTCTAATATATAAAAGCAGTATAATATTACTTAAAGATAACCTATATAAAGTTATTTACTATAAACCCTAGAAAAAATATTAAAATAATTTAAAACAAATAGCAATATAGTATATTTGAGCCCAGACTTATCAGGAATCAAATGAAATATAAAAGGTCTAAACATTCCATTAAAAGGCTAAGATTGGCACATTGACAATTTATTAGTATACTGTCTTCAAGAAAAATTATACTTCAAATATAAAGACAATAGGTTAAAAGTAAAAGGATGAAAGATGATATATCATGCTAATATTAGCCATAATGTATGACCATAATATAGCTGAAATGAGTATATTAATCTCAAAGTATATTTCAGAGAAAATATTACCAAGACAAAGAAGGTAATTTCATAGTGATAAAGGGGTCTTACACTACTTACATGAAGCAAAAATTGATGGAATATAAGGAGAAATGGATAAATCCAAAACATATCTATACTTAGACTTTTAATACTTTTTCTATAATAAAAGAACAAGTTGACAAAAAAGTGAGCATATAGTAATTTTGAACATTACTATTGATTAATTTGACCCACTTGACTCACATACTTTCCAACATTAATATAGCACACTTAATTGTCAAGTGCATGCATATCCTTTATCAAATTAGGCCATATTATGAGCCATAAAATAAAGCTTGAGAAATGTTAGAGGATTTAAGCAGTACAAAGTATGTTCTATGATTATAGTTGGATTAATTTTTTTAAAGCCAAAGCAGAAAATTACGTGGAAAATCTCCAAACATTTGGACCCTAAATAACACATTTCTGAATACCTTCTGAGTGCTGAGAAGCCAAAAGGTACATTAAAGAGTATTTTTAAATGAATGAAAATGAAAACAGAACATTTCAGAATTTGTGGAATGCTACTAAAGCAGTACTTGGGAAATTTTATAGCACCGAGTTCTTTTATTTGAAAAAAGAAAGGTTTTAATTAATGACTCCCTCTTCCACTTCAGAAAATTAGGGGGAAAAAAGAGCAAGTTAACTCTGAAGTAAGCAAAGGATAGGAAACATTAACTATTAGAGTATAAATCAACAAAAGACAGAACATTTTTTAAGTAATAAAATCATCAAAACCAAAGCTGGTGCTTTGCAAAGATTAATAACACTGATAAACCTCTAGCCAGAGTTACCAAGAGTAAAGGAAAGATGATGCAAATAACTATTATCTGAAATCAGAGAAGTTATATTGCTGTGAAGTTAAAGGTATTCGAAACAAATTATGCCTTTAAATTAATAACTAAAGTGAAATGGATAATTTCCATGAATGACACAAATTACCAAATCTCAGTCAAGATCATAGAAAACCTGAATTTCTGCTATAGAAATTGAATTTGTGATTAAAGGCTTTCTCACAAAGAAGATTCCAGGCCTCAGTGACTTCTCTGGTGACTTGTTTCAAATATTTAAGGAAAAATATTACAAGGTCTACACAGACTGTCTCAGAAGATTTACGGCAAGGTGGATACCTTCAACTCTATGAGATGAACATTTCTGCTGCCCAAACCATAAAATAGCATGGAAAGAAAACTGTACAGCAATATCCCATGAATACAAGCAAAAATCCTAAACAAAATTTTAGGAAAAAGAATATAACAGTATATAAAAATAATAACTCATCATGACCAAGTGGGATCCTAGGAATACAAGGTTAGTTTAAATTTCAAAAATCAATGTAATTTGTCATATGAACACACTAAGAAAGAAGAAAATGTATAGTCATTTCAATAGATGCATTAAAAGCTTTAGACAAAAATCCAATGTCAGTTACTAATAAAAATTCTCAACAAACTAGAAACAGAAGGGAATTTCCTAAGTTAAAGGGCATTTATGAACAATCTACAAATGACATCAGACTTAATGATAAGGATTAAATGTTTTTACCTTAAGATCAAGACAAGGCTGTCTACTTTTGCCACTTCTATTCAGTATTATCTTACCAAAGCACATAGTTCAGAAGAAGAAATAAATGGGTTAAAAGATTAGGACAAACACAAAAGAAAATATATAAAGGGCAAATAAGCACATGAATAGAAATGCTCAATTCCATTATTTTATTAGGGAAATGAAAATAAAAGTGATTAATATACTACCCCTATGGGTTTATTTAAATGGCAAATAGTGGAAAGATTGTAAAGCAAATGGAATTTTCATGTACTGCTAATGAAAATGTAAAATGGTTTACCTACTTTGGAAAATAGTTTGGCAGAAAAGTATCATCACACTACTGAGCAAAAGAATGTACTAAAAAACTGGGAATTGGATAATAATACATTCTTAGCTTTAAAAAATTATATCTCAAAGATAAAGCCAGCATTCTACTCTATTGTTTAAAATAATCCAATAGAATATATAACAGAAGAAAAACTACCATTTATAATAGTAGCCAAAGAGGGAAGGAGAAGAACTAACAAATATGCAAAACTTACACAGAGAGAGCTTTAGCTTTATACCTTTCCAAAGGTATAATCCATAAAAAAATTAAAAATTCATGGAGTGGACTTTTTCAGAATTAAAGACTTCTGATCTCTAAAAAGACACTTGTAAGAGAATTAAAAATACAGGTCACAGCCTAGGAGAATATACTTGTAAATCACATAGCTGATAATTCTCCCCAGATTGATTTATAGATTCTGTCATAATCACAGGTGCTTTTTTTGCAGCGGGGTGGGCACAAATTAACAAATTGATCCTAAAATTCAAGTAGAAATACAGGAGACCCAGAATAGCCAAACAATCTTGAAGAGGGTAAACAAGTGGAGAACTCGTATTTCCTGATTTCAAAACTTACTACAAGGCTGCAGTTCTCAAGACATTGTGGTTCTGACATAAAGAGAGACATAAATTTTTGGACTAGAATTTAGATCAAGAAATGGACCCATCAATTTATTGTCAATTGATTTTCAATAAGGGTGCCAACATAGTTCTTTCAAATTTTTAAAAACCAGCACAAGAACAGCTGGAAATCCCCTTTCCCCTTCTGTACCATATTAAAAAAAAAAAAATGAACTCCAAATGGAACACAAACCTAAATGTAAAATCTAAAACTAAAAAACTCTTAGAACACATCAGAGTAAATCTTTATGACCTTGGCTCAGGTTATAGTTCCTTAGAGATGGCACCCAAAACACAAATAACAAAAGTGAAAATAGATACATGGATTCCAAGGACACCATTGGGAAAATGAAAAGGTAACACAAAATGGGAGAAAATATTTACAAATCCTATATCTCATAAGTGACTTGTATCACAAATATTTTAAAAATCTTTTTTAAAAACTCATCAATAAAAATACTACACAATTTTTAAATGGGCAAGGAGTTTGAATGTATATTTCTCCATATAAAATGACCAATAAGCACATGACAGAAATTCAATATCATTATCTCTAGAGAAATGTAAATCAGAATTGTAGTGATACCACTTCACATCCACTAGATGACAAAAAATTTTAAAACAGACAATAACAAGGTTGGTAAAGATCTAAAGATATTGGAATGCTTGTTCATTGATGCAGAAATTATAAATCCTATAGCCACCTTAGAAAACAGTTAAGAGTTTACTCAAAATGTTAAATGTAGAGTTACCACATTACCTAGCAATTTACCTAAGAGAATGGAAAATACAGGTCTACTCAAAATGTATCATAAGTGTTCGCCACATTATTATAATAACCAAAAAGGGGAACAATCCAAATGTTCATCAGCTGATAAATTAGTAGCGTAGTATATCCATACAGTGGAATATTATTCATCAGTGAAAAGGAATGCAGTACTGTTATATCCTATAACATGAATGAACCTTGCTAAGTGAAAGAAACCATTCATATATTGTTCACATATTATGTAATTCTATCTGTATAAAATTCCAGAATAGACAAATCTACTGTAACAAAAATCATATTCATAGTTTCTAGAGACTAAAATGAGAGGGGAATAGAGAGTACCTCCTAAAATGAGTACAGGGTTTCTTTTGGACATTGATGAACTTGTTATAAAATTAGATAGGTATAATGTTTGTATGACTCTGTGACTATTAAAAATCATTGAATGCATACCTGAAAAGTATTCATTTTCTCATGTGTGAGTTAAACATATACCTAACATATGATCCAGCCATTCTGCTCTTAGATTATTATGCAAAAGAAAAGAAAGTCAGTTGGCCCTCCATCTGTGAGTTGCGTATCTGTGGATTCAACCAACCCCAAATCAAAAATATCTGGGGAAAAATGTGTCTCTGCTGAACACGTACAGGTTTTTTCCTTATCATTATTTCCTATACAATACAGTACAATAATTATTTACATAGAATTTATGTTTTATTAGGTACTATAAGTAATCCAGAGATAGTTTAAAGTATACAGGAAGATACGCATAAGTTTTATGCAAATACTACACCACTTTATATCAAGTCCATTTTGCAGAATTAAGCATCTGCAGATTTTGGAATTTTGAGGGCATCCTAGAATTAATACCACAGATACCAATCAACAACAGTACATTTTCATATAAAGATTTGTCTATAAATGTTTATATAGCAGCTTCATTTGTAATTGACAAAAACTGGCAACAAGCTAAATGACCAGCATCATGGTATACCACTTACCAATAAAAAGAAATGAATTTCAGATTGAGTAACAGATTTTGGAATATTTGCATATTATATAATGAGATATCTTAGAGATATGACCCAAATCTAAACCCAAAGTTCATTTATCTAATATGTACTTTATACCCGTGTACTAAAGGTAATTTAATACAGTATTTTTAGTGCACCTGTGTTTTAACTGCAACCCATCACATGAGGCCAGGTGTGGAATTTTCCATTTGTATCATCATGTCAGTGCTCCAAAAGTTTCAGATTTTGTAGAATTTTGGATTTTAGACTTTCCAATTAGGGATACTCAACCTGTATTGATATATTCAACAATATGGGTAAATGTCAGAATAGCTGTGCTGAGTGAAAGAAGCTAGACAAAAAGTGTATTTCCTGTATGATTCCATCTAATAAAAGATGCAAATCAATCTATAGTGATAGAAAGTAGATCAGTGGTTGCTAGGCATGGGAATCTGGAAAGACCCAGGAAAAGGTGTTATAAAGGAGCATATGAGATCCTGACGGTGATGGCCTTGTGCATTACTTTGATTGTGGTAATACGTTCATGGGTGTATATGGTGTCGTAGGTATGTACACAATGTCAAGACTTATAAAGTATATAGTTTGTTATATGTAAATTATGAGTTGATTTATAACTTAATTTCAATTTTTTAAAAAATATTAATTCCCAATAGTCTGTGTGGTAGATATATAGACCACTATACTGAATATTCCATGAAGAGACATTAAGGATATAGTAGTTTAATGTGATTTAGTGGTCTTGAAAAGAAAGTGTTATACCAGAAGGGGTAGGGTGTTGGAAAAGGTAGAATGAGAAAATATTTAAATAACTGGACTATATGAAACATTCTTGTCCTTTTTTCACTACTATAAATTAATATTTGATGCTTAATAGGAAAGTAATTTTCCCCTTCACCTTCTTTCTTTGTGTTTCTTTGTATGAAACCTTTCCTAAGTGTTAGAGAATAACTCAGACAAGTTGTCCCTGGGCCAGTTATAAGCAATTTGAGTCCAAAGCATATATTTTTCAGGTTCCATCTCTTAACATCCTTATTGAAAATGCGGCTTACTTTTAGTCTTCTTAATCCTCATGACTTGTTCTCCTCAGTCCTACACACCTCCAAGCAACGAGTTCAAGATCAGCATGAAATTGGAAGCACAGGACCCCAGGAACACCACATCCACATGTATTGCCACAGTAGTTGGACTGACAGGTGCCCGCCTCCGCCTGCGCCTTGATGGTAGTGACAACAAGAATGACTTCTGGCGGCTGGTTGACTCAGCTGAAATCCAGCCTGTTGGGAACTGTGAGAAGAATGGGGGTATGCTTCAGCCACCTCTGGGTGAGTAACTAGATCACAGGATTTCCCTAGCCCATCAGTTAGGTTCCAGAAATTGTACTCTTACCATGGAAAGCTTACAATCTCCTCCTATTCCTTTTTTTTCACATGGTCTCCTCAAAAGGCCCATCCAAAATGAAACAATCTGCAAATCTGGACATTTCTTTCTCTACATTAGTTTATGATAGCCAAGCTTCTCTCAAATTCTTCATTTTCCTAACAAGAAACCACATTCTTCATCCTTTTTTGTCAGTG